CCTGCCCATGCAGAAGACAGGGGTCCGATCCTGCTCCAGGAAGACCCCACATGCCACAAGGCAACTAAGCTCATGCCCACAGCTACTGAGTCTGTGCTCTGGAGCCCGGGGACCCCACCGACTGAGCCCACACACCGCGACCACTGAAGCTCGCACACCCTAGAACTTGAGCTCTGCAACAGGGGGAGCCGCCACGATGGGACGCCTGCGCTCTGCAGCGAAGAGCAGCCTCCACTCAGCACAACCAGGGAAAAGCGCGAACAGCACCAGGACCCAGCACGGCCTAAATAAACTTAAAAATTATTATTAAAGAAACCCCTGCCTCTCCAGGAATGCCCTCAGTCCTCAGGCTGCGTGAGGAGCGAGGAAGCCCGAGGGGGCGGCTGCCCTGGCCGGTACTCGGACCTCACGGGCATCCTTAGCATCGAGTTGATTCCGTGATTTAAGCTAACAAAAGCTTTCTGTGTCCTGTCAGTTGCCTCGCTTTCCAGACTCCGAGGGCGACGAGCTCCCCGAGGCAGGAGCTGATGGGGCCTGGCCCCCTAGACGCTGGGCCTCTGTGTGTGCTCCCGGAGTGGGGGCATCATGGGGAGGACGCACGAGGGAGCCCCGGAGCAGAGGGGAGGGCAGGGAGGGCGCCGGGCGCCCTAGCGTGGGGAACCACGGGGAGACGGCGTCGTGGGGAGGGGTGTTTGTTCAGGGAGCTCACGGCAGAGTTTCGGCCCCAAAACAGAGTCAGAAAGGGGAGAAGACAAGAAACGGCCCCGGGGAGATGCCCTAGGGCAGCGCCAACTCGTGGGGGCCAAGGGGCCCGTGGCTCCAGGGGACGGGCCCAGGGTTTAGGGGCCCCACTGTCTGCTCTGCCGGGACTTGATGCCCATTGACCGTGGAGATGACGCAGGCAAGAGGGAGAGGGTGCGGGTGGGTGTCTTCAGAAGGCGGGGTGTCCATGAGGACTGCCGGTCAAGCCAGAGCCCAGGCGGTGCACCAGGGGCTGGGGGCCCACGGGGCCGACTCCCTGAGGATGGAGAAGGGGCCCAGTCCCAGCAGGCAGCGAGGTCTGTCCTCCACACCCACAGAACCGGTCCTCCTCCATCCAGCAAGCCAGCTCCCACACACCGGGAGATGAGGGCCTCAGAAGTGGGCTTCAGGGAGGAGGAGCCAGTTCAGGGGAGCCCCGAGAAGAGAGGTTTCACCAAACGGGGAGAAACCCAAGGTCTGGGCTCAGAGCCTCAGATCTTGCACTGGAAGCACACAGAGACACAGCAGCTGGGGCTGCAGCCCCCCTGGAGCCCCCACACGAGCCGCAGGCCCCCTTGGAGCCCTCACAGGAGCCACAGCCCCCCCTGGAGCCCCCACACGAGCCACAGCCCCCCCTGGAGCCCCCACACGAGCCACAGCCCCCCCTGGAGCCCCTACACGAGCCACAGCCCCCCCTGGAGCCCCCACACGAGCCGCAGCCCCCCTGGAGCCCCCACACGAGCTGCAGCCCCCCTTGGAGCCCTCACAGGAGCCACAGCCCCCCCTGGAGCCCCTACACGAGCCACAGCCCCCCTTGGAGCCCCCACACAAGCCGCAGCCCCCCTGGAGCCCCCACACGAGCTGCAGCCCCCCTTGGAGCCTCCACACGAGCCGCAGCCCCCCTGGAGCCCCCACACGAGTCGCAGCCCCCCTGGAGCCCCCACATGAGCCACAGCCCCCTTTGCCGTAGCCGGAGCAGGAGCAGGCTGGCACACAGCAGCAGACGGGCACACAGCAGCTGGAGCCGCAGCCTCCGGAACAGCCAGAGCAGCCCATGGTTCTGGTGGTTGAGGATGGAGCAGGTCAGAGGAGCAGGTGGAGAGAGAAGGTGCTCAGTGTGGGGCCTCCTGGGCCAGGAGCCTCTACATACCTGCAGGGTCAGGTGTGATGCTGGGCACATGCTCACTTCCTGGTTCCTGTTTATGTTTCTTCCCTCAGGAAAATTGTGATTTAAAAATAACAGAAGTGTCGCTTTCCACCTGGAAGCCATTTCCTCCTCGCACACTGTTGTCCTCTGAAAACCGTCAGGGTCCAGCTCCCATGGGCTCTGGGGACCCTTGGGGAACAAGACAAGCTTCAAGTCTTTCTGCTCACTGCACGTCCCATCCCAGGCTCTATCGCTGTTTGAAAGAACACTCACCTCACAGTAATTTTCAACAACTTCTTAGTTTTATGGAGATGCTAATAAAGCTCAGGGTCTCCCGGCTCATGACCCAAGCTCAGCACGACCACAGCCAGGCTCTCCGCAGGCGTGGGAGCAGAACGCTCAGCGCGGTGTCCAGGGTCCCAGGGAGCCCAGCGCCCCTCAGGCTTCCGGGCCACCAGGCGGCCCTCCTTGAGACCCCGAGAGACTGCCCGCCTCCTCCCCTCTGGGGTCCTGTCTCTCCATGTCCTCTGCCAGGGCCCTGTCCGTGGCCCCTCTGCGAGGCTTCGGGGTCACTGGGTCCCCGTGTTCTCCCCTCTGCCGGCCCCGCTCTCTACACACAGCAGGTCATCAACCCTGCACCCTAAAGCCCGAGCGCTGCAGGGATTTCTCTCAGCTCTCCTTTTTTGTTTTAGGCTTTTTTTTGTTTTTTGCTATTTGTTTTAATTGTAGGAAAACACACATAGCAGAAACCACGCCACCTGAGCCATGTTAAGGTCACAGTTCAGCGGCATTAAGCACAGTCACACAGCTCTTCGACCGTCAGCACCATCTCATCAAACCGAAGCTCTGTCCCCATTAAACACTCACTCCGCAGCCCCGCCCCGCAGCCCCTGGCCCACCATCCGGCTGTCTGCATCTACGAACTACAGCTCTAGGGGCCTTGTGTGAGAGGACTCAGACAGGCTTCGTCCCTTACTGACTGGACTATTCCACTAGCATGACGCCCTCAAGGTTCATCCACGTCACAGCCTGTGCCAGACTCGCCTTCCTGCTCAAGGCTGAGCGACACTCCACTGTGTGCATGGACCACGGTGTGTGCGTCCCTGCATCCGCTGACGGACCTCTGGGTTGCTTCCACATTTCAGCTGCTGTGAGTGATGCTGCTCTGAACGTGGGCGTGCAAATACCTGTTTGAGCTCCTGCTTTCCATTGTTTTGAGGACACACTCAGAAGTTGAATATCTGGGTCATATTTTTATTCTATTTGAGGAACCTCAGATAGAGGTTCTTTCTTTTCTTTCTAATACTTTCTAATTCATACTACCCTAATACATTCTTTCTGAGGGGCCTCCATGCTGTTTGCCTCAGCAGTTTACATTCCCACCAGGAGAGCTCGTTTCCGATTTCTCCACATCCCGATCAGCACCTGTCATTTCCTGCTTCTCTGACAGTGGCACGCCATCGGGGGTGAGGGGGTGTGAGCTTTCTTAATTAAGGGCTGTGGATACTCGGGGGGCTCCCTCCTGACCCCCAGCTGTTTCTGGGGTACCTGGGGAGCCATCACACGTCTCCCAAGGGATCTTTCTCAGATTCTCTTCTCCACCGCACAGGAGGGGTGCTGCTCCCATGCACTCAGAGATCCCTGGGGAAGAGTTGGCAGGTGGTTGTATACCACAGGTCTGGGGCATCTTTGGATTCTAGTCTGCTGGTCTCTTCTTGTCCACATTCAAGGCGTCCAGTGTTATGTCAACACAAGAGGTGGGAAAGAAAAAGGCCCAGAGCCAAGGGACACTATGTGAAATTCCATAATAATGGGGTCCAGGAAAAGATCCTGAAAGCTTTCAGGGAGAGAAATCAACAGACAGAAAGGTGTCTAAATCCTCCGTGGCTGCAGGAAAAGCAGCGTCATCTCTGTTTCAAAGGAAGCTGCTTGTCTGGAATCAGAGGTCTAGCCAAGCCACAGATCAGACTTAAAGAATTCGAATATTTTTTCAGAAATGCTGATTTCCAAAAGGTGTGACCTCACTGCTTTCTTTCTCAAGAAATTACTGGTGAATGTGTCCTACCCAGCCAAGGAGACAAACCAGGAAATAAAGGCAGGGTTCACTGCAGAACTGACGGCGGGCGGGAGCACAGGACAGCCCAGGAGGACAGGGCCCTGGAACGGCAGGGAGCCCAGAGGACAGAGGGCCCCGGGATGGAAGGAAGCCAGGAGGACAGGGCCCCAGGAGTGCAGGGAGCCTGGAGCCGGGACACGGACCCCAGGCGTCACCTTCAAGGTGAAAACAGCTGCAATTAGAGAATGTGCATAAAGCCAGACCCTTCTGCAAGGAGATTTACACTTGAGGTGCAGAAGGCGGGGATGAATTAGTGAACAGAGATTGCTGGGAAAATGGCCCAGAAGTTTATGTGCTCAGCAGAGGGGCTTAAAGAAAGTAAAACCCTCATCTTTCAGTGTTCAAATCCCACAGGACACCCACGGGATGAAAAAACAAACAATAATGTTTGGGTTTTTTTTAAGATTGAGGTTAATAGAAGAAACCAGCTGGAACAATTGACAGCGCTGTGGCAACAATGCTGCTCTGCGTGACGTTTTGACTATGTGTGTGTGACTTAGACAAAAATAAGCCTGAAAGGATGGAAGGGAGAGAGGGAGGGAGGCTGCATGGGGCCCACCAGACGTGAAGACACAGTACAAACCACAGTAGCAAGTGCAGGGATGGCTCACGGTTGGACAGACATTCAGGTAGAACAGAAGGAAAGCTCAGGGTTTTGAATAAAATAAACACAGAGATTCCTGATGGGTGAACAGACCCAGACCCAGAACAAGCAGCTCCAGTCACCACACAGGGATTCGTGTAAAGGGATCAGTGAACAACAGCAAAAGTGCAAAAGTGTGACACAATCATAAACCTTTTAGTATCTATTATTAGTATAAGGCAAACAGAATACTCCTGGGAATGTAGCATAATCAACACAAGGAAGTGAGCATGTGCCCAGCATCATTCCTGCCCCAGCAGAAGTATATAGAGGCTCCTGGCCCAGGAGGCCCCACACTGAGCACCTTCTCTCTCCACCTGCTCCTCTGACCTGCTCCACCCTCAACCCACCAGAACCATGGGCTGCTCTGGCTGTTCCGGAGGCTGCGGCTCCAGCTGCTGTGTGCCCGTCTGCTGCTGTGTGCCAGCCTGCTCCTGCTCCGGCTACGGCAAAGGGGGCTGTGGCTCGTGTGGGGGCTCCAAGGGGGGCTGTGGCTCGTGTGGGGGCTCCAAGGGGGGCTGCGGCTCCTGTGGGGGCTCCAAGGGGGGCTGTGGCTCCTGTGGGGGGTCTAAGGGGGGCTGTGGCTCGTGTGGGGGCTCCAAGGGGGGCTGTGGCTCCTGTGGCTGCTCCCAGTCCAGCTGCTGCAGACCCTGTTGCTCCCAGTCCAGCTGCTGCAGACCCTGCTGCTCCCAGTCCAGCTGCTGCAGACCCTGCTGCTCCCAGTCCAGCTGCTGCAGACCCTGCTGCTCCCAGTCCAGCTGCTGCAGACCCTGCTGCTCCCAGTCCAGCTGCTGCAGACCCTGCTGCTCCCAATCCAGCTGCTGCATCCCTGTTTGCTGCTCCCAGTCCAGCTGCTGCAGACCCTGCTGCTCCCAGTCCAGCTGCTGCAGACCCTGCTGCTCCCAATCCAGCTGCTGTGTCCCCGTTTGCTGCCAGTGCAAGATCTGAGGCTCTGACTGAGACTTCAGGCGGCTCCTAAGGATGTGGGCTTCCCATCAAGTGCCTGGAGACGTGTCCTGGACCATCCCCAAGCAGTGCCTATCCAGGTGATGGACAGCTAGAGTCTCCTGGCTCCAGACTCCTCCCCAGTACCTGAGAGAAAGGCATGGAACTCACCCACACATATTCCCTGAAAAGGGGTCCCATGCCCCAGACACTTTTCCACCTTCTACCCACACATCGTAATGCCTGAGCCAGACTCGCCCTGAAAATGGTTCACAGGTCAGGGAGGTGGGCGAAATTTCCATTTCTAATCATTCCATGCCAGGCACCAAACCTTTGCCTTCCTCTGTCTGCCAAGAGCTTTATCATTCCCATAAGCATGTCTCGTATAACCCACCTGATTAAAACAAGTGCATTAAGACCCACAATGGGTCTGGGTGCACCAATAAATACATCCTCCACCCACAGACCTTGGTCTCACTGTGGTTTTCCTTCCAGCCTGTCTTGTTATCAAAATCGACCATGTTTCCCTCTCCTGCTGCCTAATCGATCATGGCTCCCCAGGTCCTTCACTGCTGACACCCCAGTGCCGGGATCAGCAGTCATTCCACAGACATTAGGAAAATTAATGAATGGCGGAATCACTAAGTACATGTGTGAGTGAGCGAAGAATTGATGGAGAGTGAATAGAAGACTCTTATTAGCAGAGACAGGGTACCCACTAAGTGAATGGGATTCAGGATTCAGGCTGTCCTTGCTGGCATCAGGGATGCAGCTCCCTCCCCAGAGAGCTTGTGCTTGGAGCAGGAGGAGACATTTGCCCTCAACGCCCAGGAAAGGGTCTATGGGGTGGACTGTGTGTCCACCCAGGCCCCAGAGCAGGGGTCAAGCCTGGAGAGAAGGAGGTGACTAAAACGAGCTGTGCTCCTGAGAAGTTGCAAAGATAGAGATTGTCCTGTTGTGAAGGCCAGTGTTGGCCTGGCTCAGCATGGAGCGAGGCGCTCTCTCCCCACTGCTGGGCTCAGAGTCAGTGAGAACCAACCACGCTCAGATCTCAGCGTGGGGCTGGGGGAGGAACAGAGGGGACCCGATGAAGGTCACCTGCCGGAAACCCCCAGCTGACATCACAGCTGCTGGGAGAGCTCGGACACCTCCCAGAAGATCAGGAACACGTGAAGGGCACCCACACGCCTCACCTCTGTCTGCTCAGCATCACTCTGAGTCCCAGCCAGGGTAAGAAGCCAGAACGGGAGGCAACAGCCACGGGCTTCCCTGGTGGCTCAGTGGTAGAGGATCCACCTGTCAATGCAGGAGACACGGGTTCAATCCCTGGTCTGGGAAGATCCCACATGCCTCGGAGCAAGTAAGCCCGGGAGCCACAGCTACAGGAGCCCACACAGCCTAGAGCCTGTGCTCTGCAACAAGAGAGGCCACTGCGAGGAGAAGCCCACCCACTGCAACTCCCCACCCGCAGCAGAAGACCCGACACTGCCAAAAATAAAACAAACAAACAGTAACATTGTAAGAATAAGCAATGAAAGAAATAACAGTCATCCACGCTGGGAAGGAAAAGGTAAAACTGCCTCTATTCATAGAAGACAATATCTTGTGTATGGAAAATCCTAAGGGCTACACACACACACACACACAATTATTAGAGCTAAGAAGGGAATTCAGCAAGCTGCAGGATACAACGTCAAGATACAAAAATCAACTATATTTCTGTATACCAGCAATGAGCCGTCAAAATTTAAATTGAGAAGACAATATCATGGAAAAAAACAAAATAACTTAATAAACTTCATAACTGAAGTACAAAACTGCAAAACGCCACTGAAAGAAGTTAAAGAAGGACAAAATAACTGGAAAGATAGCCAATGGTCATGTATCAGGAGACATAACATTGTTAAAATGACAGCATTCCAAAACTCTGCAGATTTAACATAATCCCTTTCAAAATCCCAAGTTGCTTTTCACAGAAAGTGACAAGCTGACCCTAAAATTCATATGGAAATTCAAGGATCCACAGATAGTCAAAGCAATCTTGAAGAAGAAAATCTAAGTGGGAGCACTCACGTTTCTCAATTTCCAATGTGCTACAAAGCTACAGCAGGACTTCGCCGGTGGTACAGTGGATAAGAATCCACCTGCCAGTGCAGGGAATACGGCTCCAACCCCTGTGCAGGAAGATCCCACACGCCTCGGAGCAACTAAGCCCATGCACCACCAGTCCTGAGCCCGCCTGCTGCGACTACTGAAGCCCACGCGCCCAGAGCCTGTGCGTCAACAAGAGAAGCCGCCGCAGAGACGCCCGAGCACCGCAAGGAGCTGCTGCAACTAGCGAGACCACGTGCCAAACAGAGACACAGCACAGCGAGAAAACAACAAATAAATTATGCATCGAGAGCTGCAGCGACAAAGCTGTATGGAAATGCACAAGGGCAGACAGAGGCCAGTGGGACAGAACTGAGTCTGGAGACAAATCCTTTAAATTATGGGCAACTGATTTTCAACAAAGGTGCCAAAATCACTCAATGCAAAGTCTTTTCAATGCATAGTGCTGAGACAAGTAGTGACCACACGCAAAAGAAAACAGTTGGACCTTCATCTCACATCATATGCACAAAAAAACAGCCTTGAAATGGATCCACGACCTAATCATAAAAGCCAAAACTAGACACTATAAAACTCCTAGAAAAAAAGATAGAGTAAGTCTTTGTGATCTTATATTAGACAGTGAATATTAGATATGACAGCAAAGTGAAAGTGAAAGTTGCTCAGTCGGAATTCTCCAGGCCAGAATACTGGAGTGGGTAGCCTTTCCCTTCTCCAGCAGATCTCCCCGACCCAGGAATCAAACTGGGGTCTCCTGCATCACAGGCGGATTCTTTACCAACTGAGCTATGAGGGAAGTTCTTGACTGCAAGAGCGTGAGCAAAAAAAAGAAAAATTACATAAATCAGACTGCATCAAAATAAAAAGATTTTGTGCTTCAAAGGACACGAATTAAAAAGTGAAAAGACAATGTACAGAATGGGATAAAATATTTGCCAATCAGATATTTGACAATTAGCTTATATTCAGAATATAGAAAGAAGTCTTACTCCCCCAAAATGAAGATAAATAACCCAATCAAAAACTTAGCAAAGGATCTGAATAGACGTTTCTCCAAAGAAGATACACAGATGACTAATAAGCATATGAAAAGATGCTCAGCATCATTAGTCATCAAGAAAACACAAATCAAAACCACAGTGAGATATCACCTCATACCCTTTAGGGCGGATATAATCAGAAAGACAAACAGTAACAAGTGTTGGTGCGCATGGGAGAAATTGAACCCCTATGAATTGCTGACTGAAATAGTAAATGGTGCAACTACTCCAAAAAACAATTTGGTGGTTCACCAAATGTTAAATATAGAATTGCCACATGCTCCAGAAATTCCATTGCTAGGTATATGCCCAAGAGAGTGGAAAACACATGTCACACAAAAATCTGTGCAATAATGCTCATAGTAGCATTATTCATAACGGCCAAAAAATGGAAATATGCAAATGTCCATCAAATGATGAATGGATAAACAAAATGTGGTCCACGCATACAATGGCATATTATTTACCCCTAAACAGGAATGAAGTTCTGACACACGGTACAACAGAAATAAACTTTGAAAGCATCATCTAAGTGAAAGGCCACATATTATACGACCATATTCATATGTGATGTCCAGAACAGGTGACTCCACAGAGGCAAAGGGCAGGTTTACCATGAGCTGGTTTGAAAGAGGGAGATGGAGACTCTCCATTAAACATACGTGGACTTTCCTTCTGAGATGATGAAATTGGCCTGCAATTAAATGGTAGTGATGGTCGTGTGACTTTGTGAGCCTGTTAAAAAGTCACTGAATTGTACACTCTGAAGAGCAAATCTGACAGTATGTGAGTCGTATCTCAATTTTAAATTTCATGTAATATGACTTTGCTGTCCCTCAGTCGCTCGGTCGTGTCCAACTCGGCGACCCCATGGACTGCAGCATGTCAAACTGCCCTGTCCTTCACCATCTCTTGGAGTTCGCTCAAACTCGTGGCCATCGAGTTGGTGATGCTATCTAAACATCTCATCCTCTGTATGTGTTTAAATACTTCCCAATTTTAAAGAATCTTACCAAATCACCATGTGATTTCCACTGAATATGTGTATTTTTTAGTCAATGATTTTAGAATCATTTCAAGATAAATGTTAAAAATGATCCCAACTAAATCTAAAGACAGTAATGAAGTATTCAGGAGCACTTGATATTCATTATATCAAAGGTTTTGTGTATCTGGTCAGCGAGCATGACTTACTAAAGGAGGTGTATGTGTTAGGGCTTGCTAAGTGTTTTGAGGATGTAAACCATTCTGGTATAGCATGTAGGGAGCTTGGACATGGCCATTCCCAGGCACACAACAAGGAAAAGTGCTGAGCAAACTGGAAATCAACAGCTCTTCTTACATCAAACAAAGACCTGAGGTTACAGGGCACAGTGTGGCCCTGAAAAATTGGAGAGAGGCAGGCAGATACAGACACTCAGAGGAGCAGAAACATCCACGGGGGCCCATGCCCAGCCCTCAAACTGCTGGAGGCTCAGTGCAGACAAGTCCGTGAGTTAGAACTCCAGGGGGACCGAGTCGGGGGGCCCCCACAGTCTGATGAGTTTTACCTCCAGGAACCCACAGGTTCTCACGGTGGAGACGAGAAGAACCCCTTTGTGCTTTTGGCACGGGGAGGGGCAGGGGGGCATTCTGAAATCCACAGAGCACGCGTAACACCATCTGCCCTCTTTCAATGCCAAGTCATAGCTCTCTCTTGGTAAATGCCACATTGCGCTTGAAAACATGTGGGTTATTTTAAAAAAATCTTTTGATCCTGATCTCTAATATAATTCCACAGTAATAAGAAAGCAGACTCTATATGATTTCAATACCTTTAGACCATGAAATTTCTGCACCTTGTTTTATGTCCCTGGATATGTTCCAGTGTCTCCTAGTTTATAGTCTATGGGAACTTGAATAGAATTTGTATACCATTGTTATGTGAAAATTGTATAAATATTAATTACCTAAAACTGGTACATAATACTTTCTGTATCTACTATATACTTCTACTTCTCTGTACATTCATTCTATTAATTTCTGAGAGTTTGATATTGAAACTCCAACTACTTGAAACAAACAATTGTAATATATAGTGGAAGCATATATAGCTTTGTTCTGTATTTTCCAAGTCTCTTATAAATGTGTTATCGCATTTTCATAATTTAAAAAATAAAAAAGAAAGATTAAAAAAAAAGATCTGCCCTCATGATAAATTACTTTACCAAGCCCAGCCTGCGGGTGTTTCATCACTGCTCGTGACCAAGGGGAGGGAAGCCCCCAGCTGCAGCCCCCCAGCACCCCTGACCCAGCAAGGGGCGAGGAGGAGCCAAGAACACTGGATAGGTCAGCACGCCCAGAAACAGACACTGCCCCCCCACATGCACCTAACCTGCACATCCCTGAAGGCCTGCTCGCCGCAGTTCCATCACCCACGGATACATCGTGTCCAGCTTGAACAAGAAATCACAGGGCAAGAGCGCGCTCGAAGAGACAGAGCCAGCATCAGAGCCTGACTCAGACACGGCAGGGAGGTTGGGATTCTCAGGCTAGGAGACCCTATGTGTGTCACAGGCTCTAAGAAGACACCCAAGAGCTAATGGGTTATGGGAGGGGGTGGTGGGTGGGAATCCCAGGAGAGAATCAAAGAAATGCTAGAAATCAGAGCAGAGTAAAGAAACGGACAGCACCTGCGGCGGGCTCATCCGGAGGCTGGACGTCAGGACAGACGACGGCTCTCAGCAGACCTTCCACCCAAGCGAAGAACCGGCGAGCGTGAAACAAAGACACGCTGGAAGGGACTTCCCTGGTGGTCCGGCCCCATGCAGGGGACGTGGCTTCCACCCCTGGTCCGGGAACCAAGCCCGCACGTGACAGCTGCTCGGGAGCCCTCACACTGGAGAGAGGGCCGTGTGCCACATGAAGGCCAGCACAGCCAGATAGTGATAATAATTTTCTAAAGTAGAATAGAAACTCCCCACACAGAGAAAGAGGAGCAAGTCTGAAAAAAATGGAACAGAATACCCGAGAACTGTGAGATAATTACAAAAGAGGTAAAACCAATGATAACTAATGTATGCCTGTGGTTAAAATGTGAAAGGGGATATAGCTAAATTATAAAATTGATGGAATGTTTAGCTTAAGAAAGTTTGGACTATTCCAACTTGAGTTAATAAAACATTAACCATACGTCCCTCTGACAGTGATTATTAAATTTAGTACATCTATATTTTTGAAGTTATATTTTAAATATATATATCATAAATACAGCATATATTTATAAATATTGAATTAAATTATATGTAATTATCAAATTATATCTATTTTATAAAATATAAATATCAATAGCTATAAATATTATATTTATTTTCTATATTTATAAATTGTCCTTATAAAGTTTTAGAATGTAAGATTTTTTAAGCTGTAATGTTAACAAGTTGAATATTGATTTCAACACCTCAAGCAATCAAGGACTTCCCTGGTGGCACAGTAGGGAAGAATCTACCTGCCAAAGACGGGACACAGGTTTGATCCCTGGTCCAGGAAGATTCTGTATGCCAAGGAGCAAGTAAGCTGTGCATCACAGCTGCTGAGGCTGAGCTCTGGAGGCTGAAAGCCACGACTCCAAAAGACCGTGTGCCTAGAGCCGGCACCACAGCGAGACGCCACTGCAGGGAGAAGCCCGCGCCCCGCAACAGCAAGCAGCCCCGTGCACACTGGAGAAGGTTGCTATTTATAAAATATAAATGTCAATAGCTTAAATATAAGTATAAATATAATAAATATAATAAACATATTATAACTATATTATAGTTTATAATTATCATAATTATAGTATAATATAATTATAATAATACAATATACAATATTTGTCATATATAATATATAATTATAATTTATATAATTATTAATTATTTAATTATATATTTAAATATAATTTAATATATTTAATATATTTATCATATATATTTTCTATACAATACTATATATTACATTATAATATTATAATATATAATTATAATATTATAATTATAAATATATGATTATAATATATATTATCTATAATAATTTTATATATTATATATAATATTTTTATATACTACATAGATGACTATTATAACTATTATAATTATATATTATAATTACAATTAATAATTATAATAATTATATGATAATATATACTTGTTATAATTATATATATGATAGTATATACAATAATATATAATATATAATTACATACTACATATTATAATAATATACTATATATAATATATAAAATAATATAATACACAATATTGATTATAATATACTATATTATATTATAAATTATATATAATTGCACATATAAATTATATAAATTATAAATTATATAATTTATATAATTATTTATTATTTAAATATAATTAAATTTATTTAATATATTTATTATTTATTTATATTTTATGTTATATTATATTTACATTATATATTATAATAGATATTATTAATATCTATTATTTATATTTAATTTTTATATTTTATCATAGTATATTATATAATATATAGTATTATTATATTATATATTATATAACTATTATATAATTATATTATATTATATTATATTATATTATATTATATTATATTATATTATATATTTGCAGAAGGAAATGGCAACCCACTCCAGTATTCTTGCCTGGAAAATCCCATGGACAGAGGAGTCTGGTAGGTTACGGTCCATGGGGTCACAAAGAGTTGGACACGACTGAGTGACTTCATATATAATATTATTAAAATTATTTTAATATTAAATATAAATGTTAATGTATTATTATTATATATTATTTATTAATATATATATAACATTATATATTATAATAAATATAATAAAAATAAATATCAATATCAAAATATAAATATCAACAGCCCCTTGCACACCAACAACAATGACCGAGTGCAGCCCAAAATAAATAGATAAGTGTGATAAAAAACAAACCAACCCTCAAGCAGCCGAAAACCCACAGGGAGCAAACACGGTCCTCACACGGGTCCTGCCCCAGCAAGGAGGGCTGCCACGGAGCACAGGCCAAGTGAAGCCACTAGGAAATCAGTGACCCACGGCGGGACCACATGGGGGGCGCCTCCCTGCGAGGCCCCCAGGTCCGTGGGAGACAGCGCTGCGCTGCCCGCCGCAGCCTCACTCGCTGTTTTCCCCGCTGAACCACCCGCAGATGCCTGTTTGCTTCCAACGCCCACAGCCTCACCCTCAGCCTCAAGGCCTGAGCTGCCCGGGGGACCAGCGGTCAGCCACGGAGCTGGCGCGGAGCGGCCACGGGCCACTTCCGGGAATCCACAAAGAGGTTTTGTGCTGACTGCAGTGACTAACCCTGATTACCAAAGAGAAACCGAACCGCCGGTCCACAAGCGAAGTAAGGAAGCTGACAGTCATCCCTCATACCGGCAGATAACTGGTTCCAGGACCGCGTGAGCGCCAACATCCAAGGATGCTCGGGTCTCTTGTATAAACAGCGTCGCTGTGTTGTTGTTTAGTCACTGAGTCGTGTCCGACTCTTCGCAGCCCTGTGGACTGTAGCCCGCCGGGCTCCTCTTTCCACGGGGTTTCCCGGGGAAGAACACAGAAGCGGTTGCAATTTCTTCCTCCAGCGGATATTCCCGACCCAGGGATGGAACCCACGTCTGCTGCGTTGGCAGGTGGAGTCTTTTCTGCTGAGCCACCGGGGAAGCCCATAAAGCAGCACAGTATTTTCATTTGACTATGCATGTCCTCCTCTGCACTTTAATTCATCTCTGGACGACTTGTGATACCTAATACAAAGTCAGTGCTACATAAATAGCTGTACACACAATGTAAACGCTATGTACACTGTTGCCGGCAGGGCAAATTCAAGTTTTGCTTTTTGGAAACTTCTGGACTATTTCCAGAATATTTTCAGTCTCCAGTTGGTTGACCCTGGCTGTCTGTCTGTCTGCATATAGGAGATCCCTTGAGGCATGGTCAGCACAGCCAGGCCTGGGACTCAAGATCCCTGGAAAACTGCAACAACGCAACCCAGGCAAGCCCTACTGTGCGGCCAGGGCTGCAGGCGGCAAGTTCTCTGAGTCCCCGAGATTAACAGGAAGGACCTTCCCGCCGCCGCCTGCAGTGGCCTCCTGCCTGGCGATCTCTCCATGCCCTGAGGCCACCTCTTGTAAGCCCTATCAGCACCATCAAGACTTCACAGTCCGGACGCGGTCAGGCATCGTGCCAGGGTGATGACCAGTAGGACCCTGAGGGCCCGACTTCCGTCTCCGCAAACAAGGAACACAAGCCCATCAGATGATGAAGCCGTGTGCTGGGAACATGCAAGTCACAGCAGGAGGGTTTCTTATAAACACCACAATGTGTTCATGACTAAATCTGTTTTAAACACTCAGAATTTTTCTGCTGGAAAGTGGTGCAAACAGGAACCAGGAAGTGAGCATGTGCCCAGCATCACACCTGACCCTGCAGGTATATAGAGGCTCCTGGCCCAGGAGGCCCCACACTGAGCACCTTCTCTCTCTCCACCTGCTCCTCTGACCTGCTCCATCCTCAACCCACCAGAACCATGGGCTGCTCTGGCTGTTCCGGAGGCTGCGGCTCCAGCTGCTGTGTGCCCGTCTGCTGCTGTGTGCCAGCCTGCTCCTGCTCCGGCTACGGCAAAGGGGGCTGTGGCTCATGTGGGGGCTCCAAGGGGGGCTGCGGCTCGTGTGGGGTCTCCAAGGGGGGCTGCAGCTCCTGTGGGGGGTCTAAGGGGGGCTGTGGCTCCAGCTGTGGGGGCTGTGGCTCCAGCTGCTATGTGCCCGTCTGCTCCTGTGTGCCAGCCTGCTCCTGCTCCAGCTGCGGCAAAGGGGGCTGCAGCTCATGTGGGGGCTGCAGCTCGTGTGGGGGGCCTAAGGGGGGCTGCAGCTCGTGCGGGGGCTCCAAGGGGGGCTGTGGCTCTTGTGGCTGCTCCCAGTCCAGCTGCTGTGTCCCCGTTTGCTGCTCCCAGTCCAGCTGCTGCAGACCCTGTGGCTCATGCGGATGCTCCAAGGGGGGCTGTGGCTCGTGTGGGGGCTGTGGCTCATGTGGGGGGTCTAAGGGGGGCTGCGGCTCCAGCTGCTGTGTGCCCGTCTGCTGCTGTGTGCCAGCCTGCTCCTGCTCCAGCTGTGGCAAAGGGGGGTATGGCTCGTGTGGCTGCTCCCAGTCCAGCTGCTGCAGACCCTCCTGCTCCCAGTCCAGCTGCTGTGTCCCCGTGTGCTGCCAGCGCAAGATCTGATTCTTCAACACACACCCCAGTATGTATCAGATGCCCTGGATGGAGATCAGTACTGGACCTCACAGCGCTGAATCCCAGCCCCGGCCTGCTGTTTTGGGAACGTGGGAGTGGGGGTGTTTATAGTAGAAAGAGCACACCCAGCACACCCTTGAGAGGGCCTGACCCCTGACCTCCCATCCGCTTCCTGTGAAAAGCCGCGACCGCAGCCCTCAGACGTCTCCCCTGAACTCACCGGCTTAATTCTCTGTCACGGGCTACAGATTCTGAGAATCCTTGCAATTCCTCTCAATAAACGCATCCCTTCCCCGCACACCTCCTGGTCTTACCGTGATTCTTTTCTCACTGTTTCTGGTAGTTTACCATTTCAACACCCCGCTCTCTCTGGACTGTTGTCTCTTTTGGATTTCCTGAATCCCAACAGAGCATTCAGCAGCCCACTGCTCCAAGCAACCCAGCGTGCTCAGCACTGCGCAAGAAACGGGCTCAGGCGAGAACCCGGCACACACCTGCCAGAGGCGGCTTGCTGCGGCGCGGAGAGGGGCAGCCCTGAGCGGGCTCGGGAGGGGGCGACAGGGACGCCAAGGGAGGGACGGCGTGAAGGTCCGAGACCGGCTGTAGAGGGGGTGCGGGCCAGCCGCGTGTCTCGGTAACTTGGGGGTAAGAATTTTGAACACAGTGACCGTTTGGATCTGCGGCAGGAGGCTGAGCGGTGAAGAGAGGTGTGTGCATCAGAGAACTGAGAGCGACCCGAGTCCCCGGTCTTCAGTGTGGTTCCGCATAAGCGCCACTGGGTGGCGCTGGAGCTGCTGCAAGTGGTTTCGCATTTGCTTGAAAGGGATTTCTAGTTTCACGTCTTTAAAAAAAGAAAAAGCAGACGGGGAAATCCCACGCTACCCATGCGCCTGAATCCTGGAGACGACCAGCCCTTCTGCTGAGAAGGGAGCGAGGCTGCGGTGCAGACACTCACGTCTGCTCTTCAAGCTCAGAGAGAGGCGTGTGTGTGCGTGTGCGCGTGTGCTCACGCGCACATCAGAGGACGAGGGAGACGCCTTCTGAACCGCGCGGTCTCAGAGCTCGGAGCCCACCATAGCCAGTCGTGTAACTGGAAGGCTCCTGACGCCGGGCTGGGGACCCCCAAGTGTGCACCCCGTCACGCCCGGTGCTGCTGCCAGCCGCTCTGCGCGTGTTCCCGCCGGGGTCTCGGGCTCCACTGCCGAGACCGACAAGTGCTAAGCGGAGACGCTGCAGACGCGGGCGCTGCTCAGCGAGCCACCCGTGTCCAGCTGCCTCCTCGTCGGCGCCGGAAACCGGCCACGTCCAGCCACAGAGAGAAGCCCGCTCAGCCTGGGGCCAGGGCGTGCGCACCGGGGCCGCAGCCTTCATCTCCAAACTCGTAGGTCGCGTCTGCCCGTTCCGGCCTTTGCTTTCTGGACCAGACTCTCCACTTGGGACAGGACCGTCTCCCAGGCTGGGGGCGGGGGGCAGATAAAGAGCACAGCGGGGTGAGGGGGGGTGGGGCGGGGGGGTCCGGTAAACAGCGTTTGGGCTCCCATGCTCGCCTGCAGAGCTGCTCAAGACCCGGCCGAGCCCCTGGGGTCCGGCCGCCCGGCAGGTGGGACTCTGACTGTCCTGCTGCTGTTATGCTTGTTGTTCAGTCGCTAAGTCGTGTCTGACTCTCTGCGACCCCACGGGCTGCGGCACACCAGGCTCCCTCGTCCTTCACTATCTCCTGGAGTTTGCTCACACGCACGTCCATCGGGTCAGTGATGCCATCCAACCATCTCATCGTCTGCCACCCCCTTCTCGTTTCGTCTTCAGTCTTTCCCAGCATCAGGGCCTTTTCCAATGAGTTGGAGCTTCAGTTTCAATGAAGATTCAGGACTGATTTCCTTTAGGATTGAATGGCTTGATCCCCTTGCAGTCCAAGGGACTCTCAGGAGTCTTCTCCAGCACCACGGTTAGAAAGCACCAATTCTTCAGTGCTCAGCCTTCTTATGACCCAACTCTCACATCCATGCATGACCGCTGGAAAACCATAGCTTTGACTAGACGGACCTTTGTCAGCAAAGTGATGTCTCTGCTTTTGAATATGCTATCTAGGTTTGTCATAGCTTTCCTTACAAGGAGCAGAGGTCTTTTAATCTTATGGCTGCAGTCACCATCGGCAGTGATTTTGGAGCCCCCAAAATAAAATCTGTCCACTTTCTCCCATCCTATTGGCCATGAAGTGATCGGACTGAATGCCATGATCTTGGTCTTTTTAATGTTGAATTCTAAGCCAGCTTTGTCCCTCTCTTCCTTTACCCTCATCAAGAGGCTCTTTAGTTCCTCTTTCCTTTCTGACTGTCCTGGGGAGACCAGACAAGACCAGCGCGTGTGGCCAGCAGCATCATACGCTGCATCATCTAGGCCCTGGCTGAACTCGGACAACCCAGGTATTTTCTCTCTTTGCCTCTGTTAAGGCAGGTGCCCCCTTCTGGGTTTCTGCAGTTGGGTTTTGGACGTAAGCTGCCACCAAGCTTCCAGCCATGCCTTTCCAAACTCTGACCACCCAGACAACCTGCCGACCACTGTTCCTGAATCATAAATCCACCTCTTCTTTCCTACAAACAGAGCAGCTTAGTTAGACCCTGCAGGCTCTGCTCACGACTGGCTGCTCCTCCACCACCTGCAGGGCCAGCCTATCCCCCAGGCTGTGACGCAGCAAACGTCTACTCAGGATGCTGAGCCTGGCACAGACCAGGCCATGAGGCTTCTTCCTCCACTAGCGGTCCCAGGAAATCCACTGGAAGCCATGTAGGGAAGGGAGAATCCGGTCACCCTGAAGTCTCTCTGGTGTGAGCATGCGGCAGTCAGGAGGCTCGGAAGAGGAGCTGGGAGAAGTCTGCAAGAGCGGGTCAAAGGGAGAGGGAGGAGCCACCAGCCAGATTCACGGCGCACAGGGTGCCCGGGGACTCAAGGGTAGACCTGGGTCTGGAAAGGGGCAGCACGCCCACCAGGAGAACGGCTGAGTTTCCTCCTGTTTGACCAGTAAAGAAAGTCTCTTCTGAGAACTGAAATGCATGGATAACCTCGGAGAATAAAGAGAGCATGAGAGATGCCTGTTTGTTTGTTTTTAAATTACATGGGATCAACCAAGATGTGAACACTCTAGGACTTCCCTGGTGGTCCAGTGGTTAGGAAGCCGCCTGCCAGTACAGGGGACATGGGTTTGACCCCTGGCCCAGGAAGATGCCACGTGACACCACAGGGCGATTAACCCGCGCACCACACTACTGAGCCTGTGATTCTAGAGCCTGCTCCACAGCAGGAGGGGCCACCGCAGTGAGGAGCCCGCGCTCACCACAACTAGAGAAAGCCCACGTGCAGCAAGGAAGACCCAGCACGCGGGCACGCGCGCACACACACAGACACACACACACACTCGACGCTCTAGAGAGTGGGATTGTGGGTAACTTGCCTGCTTCTCTACTTCTCCCATTTTGTTTAACTGAGACCTCATTTTTCTCTTGAGAGATAATTTAAGTATCTCTCTCTTTAGTCACTCAGTCATGTCCGACTCTTCAGTCGTGTCTGACTCTTGCGACCCCATGGACTGTAGCCCGCCAGGTTCCTCTGTCCATGGGGTTCTCCAGGCAAGAATACTGGAGTGGGTTGCCATTTCCTTCTCCATTTGAGTATAATGCTATCTCAGTTTTGGGGGTACAACGCAATGATTCGATATATATATATTGTGAAACGATCACCACAGTGCATCTAGCAGCAGGCTCACCTTCTAATTACAATTTTCTTCTTGTGACCAGATCTTTAGGATCTCCTCTTTCGGCAACTCTGAAACATAGAATACACTATCATTAACTATTGTCTCCATGCTGTACGTTAGGTCCCCAGGACCTATTTATCTTCTAACTGGCATTTCTACCTTTTGACCCCTTCACCCACCTTGCCCACCCTTCACCCCCTGCCTCGGGCAACCCCAACCTCTCTATCTATGAACCTGCTAGGTTTGGGGGAGTTTTATATCCCACATTATCAGTGAGCTCACACAGGATCTGTCTTTCTCTGTCTGACTTATTTCACTTAGCTTAATATCCTCTGAGTGTTCACTTGCCCAGTGTCCGACTTTTTGTGACCCCATGGATTGTAGCCCGCCAGGCTCCTCGGGCCACGGGATCCTCCAGGTGAGAACACTGGAGTGGACTGCCATTTCCTTCTCCACGGGATCTTCCCAACCAGGGATCAAACCTGCGTCTCCTGTATCTCCTGCACTTCAGGCAGATTCTTAGCCGCTGAGCCACTGGGTAAGCCCCCACAATATCCTCTAGGTCTATCCATATTGTCCCAAAGGGCAGGACACCTTTCCTTCTTTTTATAGCTGAATAATATCCCATGATACACCACATCTTCTTTATCCATTCACCCTCAGTGGACATTTAGGTTGCTTCCATAC